ATGGTGTGCCATTAGGGCCAAAATTGAAAAACACCAATAAATAAAAGAATAAATAAAATAATAAAACAAAAAATAAAAGAATAGAAAAATAATTTAAAACATAAAATAAAAACGTAAAAGAATAAATATAAACCACAGTCTACTAGCAGAGTGACTGTGTAGAAACAAGGAACAATAATTAAAAGAATAAAAGAAAGAATAGAAAAATAAATAAATAAAAGAATAGAAAAATAGAATGAGCTTATTTAAATAAGTGTTTTAAAAAAGCTGTTTAAAAGTAAACCGCCGTTGCGCGCAAAGGAGCTAAAAACTAAACCGCCGTTGCGTCGCAACGGAGCTAAAACTTTGACCCCGACCTTTAGCCCGAAATTCCCAACGCACATGTCTAGGGAAAGTCAGCATCGAGGTGGGGGGGGGGGGCAAGGGTTATTTTGGTTCAGCGTAATTGCAATATTTTTTTGTTCGTACAACGTAAATTGAAAAAAATAAATTCCGCAATTCTGTAATCATAGGCTAGACGTACAACGTAATCAATCAAATATTTTTTTTGTACACTGTAAAAATGTGTCATTTTTCTCGGTACGTACAAGAATTTTCTAGGTTTTCTTTCTTAATCTTCCGTAAAATGTAAAATAACCTTTATTTTATCTGTAAACTGTAAACATTCAATTTTCACTGTAAACTGTAAAAACGTCCTTTTTCCGTGTAAATTGTAAAAAGCCCTCTTTATTTCCCGTAAAACTGTACCAGCTACTCTTCTTGCCACCCCTCAGCATCAACAGGGAGGTGCTGATCATCGTCGATTTTGTTTGGTATCTGCGACTGAAACACTTCACCGAGCCCCTGATAACGTGGTGTAATTATTGTCCGAAGACCAAACAAGTCGTAGTAATGAACCGAGTCATCCATAGTTCCAAGTATCCCCACCAACACGGGGGGCTTGTTACAGTAACTAACGACGAATCCCCCTCGTGCGAGCATGGAGGGCACTCCTCAACTCCGATGTCGCCATAGCTATTGACATAGTTAACAACGGTTATTAGAAGTACCACAAGCTGAATAAAGTATATTGTCGACACATTAACATCCCATTAACAAGGTCATAATTTTTGAAAAAAATTGTCATAAATCGCATGACAATGTTTATTATGAAGCTGATGTCCCATGGTACAATGAAATAGCAATATTTTGTGTGTTACAGTTAAGCTTGTTGAGAAATGTGTTCTAATATTTCTTGAAAATTGCTATTTTAGAACAATTCCATAGATTTAACACAATGTTAAAGAAAAATTGCATTTTTTGACACTTTTTAAACTCCAGATTTTTAAAATAATTCAGAACAACAAAAAGTACTCCATCATTAACAATATATGATTTTTTCAGCCTATGTCACCAGGCTAGATTTTGTAATATTGCATAATATCTCTGCCATAGGAACCTGGAAAGGCTGGTGACCCTCAAATTTATTTTAGGTCAATATTCTTATATTGCCTTGGAGTACAGTTATGAATTTTCAGTACTCGTTATTGTTGTTCATTGGTATATTAAATGCCAGACTATGATTTGACAACATAGTTTTTTAATGGTTAAATATGTTAATATTGGTGAATGATGATAAATTATGTAATTTATACATAATATATTTACGGTATTTTCATCCTACCATATTAGGCAATGCGAATTCCAAATATCGAATGATTATGTGCGTAAGCGTCCACTAATAGGGATAAACAAACATGGCTGGCACCAGGGTTTCGCCGGACCCCACACAAAGTTCGCTGATTCTGTTCTAAACTTTTTGGATTTCGGCATTACCATGATGCATCTTTGGAAGGGAAAAATGTATAATAATAAGGTTATTACGAGGATACCTTAAAGTATGCACTCAGACAGTACATCGTCGCTGTACTGTCTTCATGTATACTTTGAGGTATCCTCGTAATAACCTCATAGTACCACTAGTTGTGTTACCATTTTAATAATTTTAATAACTCGTGTATTTATTTTCAACACTTTATGATACAAAAATAATAAAAGTTACAAATTATACATTAGCATAAATCATCATTATTGGCAAGCCAGGGCTTAAAAACAAAAGTTGATAATTTCTCAGGCACTTAACTTAGCTACCATGAATTTCAGTTCATGTTAGGATCACTTTCAGAACAGTAAATCATGCATTGTGTAAAATTGTGTATCCACACATTAACTCATGTACTCTTTACAGCTTATTTGTTCTCAGGAAAAAATACATTGTTATTTAGTAGCAGAACTGTGATGGTTCTATTATAAGCACTTCACAAGAGATGTATTGTGAGCATATACGTTTCTTAGGATCAATTTTCAAAATTTGTTACACAGAATCATGTCGTTATCTACAGGTCAGATTAGTTCATAGAAATGGTTGTTCAGCCTGTAATATAATTTCAATATATCAATTTTTATTAGCATCATATGTGTATCGTTTACTATGTGGGTCAAATAATAGATCGAAGAATGTGCAAAAAAAAGATGGAAAATACATTTCCCTGAAAATTTTCTTGAAACAAAGTGGCTGCTGGTCAAACATCTTAGACAGGTACGTGTTGCCAAGTTTTGAATAATTAGTTTATAAACCTCTGAGGAAATGTGCCAGACGAATTAACTAACTAGAAGACAATCTATAAGCACCTGGAATGCGTCCAGTTGTTCGCTCAAAAGTATTCTTTTCAA